ATAGCATTAAATCCCTCAGACAGGATGAGATCCATTACTTATCTAATAGTTAGATTTACCACGACAATTTCTCTTGTGATGAGCGTTAACTAAAGTAACCTTAATGAATTTGATGGATTATTTGATCAAGGTCTATACATTCGGATCGCAGATCTTTTTCAAATGACTTAATACAAGAATCGAAGATTTAAACTGATATAACTGAGAACTTATCATAAGTGGAAAAATTTTATTTACTCAATTAAAATACCATGTTCTCCTAAACATCCAACGTTACCATATTGTTGAGAAGATAGACGGCAAAAGACACTACTACATTCAGGTATAATAGTACTATATTTGTAATATCCTGCAAGGAGTAGAAAACCTAACTCTAAACATTTCACGACTTTTAATGATAATTGAATTTTTAGGAAATCATTAACCATTTTTCGAAGTAAAATTAGCAGAAATATAAGAAACAAATGCTAGTGCCTGGCCTACATTCAGAACTGTAATAAAACCTAAGGTTGAAATGAATCATCAGATAAATGATTAATGAAGAATAATTCATAGTGAATACGTAATTCTTAAATATCCAAAGATAAATGAAAGGAAAATTTAAATGGACCAACCTATCGCCAGTTAAGTCAACCACACAGTATAAGGATTTTGTAGAGATCAATGAGTTTTGTAGATTACATCATGGACTGGTATTAGTTAGACAACCAGTGAAAATTAGGAAACAATGTAAAAAAAACTGTTTCATTCAAGTATCGAACTCATCAATGACAGTGGAGCATCCATGATCCCGAAGCACAGGTGAGAACTCACAACTTTCAGGTGTTTCAGAGGAAGCTTGATCTCCAGACCACTGGGCCAGCATCCAATGGTTTACATATCTAATTTCAAACAAATTAAAGGAAATCGACAAGCATACTACAACATGAAATCCACGTTTGTTTCATCGGTAAACACAGTAACAACTGAAGGTAGATATACTGAAAATTACTAGTAAAGACGTTTAGAATCAAATATCTACTCAGTAAAGTTATTTACCGGACAAATTGAAGTAATGAACATTGAGATTACTGAAAAGGTACATAAGATTTTAAGTAAAAATATTAAATTCAGTGATCAGACTATCAATCTTTGGCGACTGAAGTAGTTATAACATGCCACATAATCTCGACCATCGATAACACAAACCCACTGTGTTGGCTAACATAGACTGTAAACTAAAAAGATGAATAGAGATGGCTAGATAGAAAACATTTAAAATTTATGATTAACTACCGATTAGTGGTCATTAAACAAGATATAAGACCATACTAGCGGCAAGTGCAAATAAAAAAGAACTGTTTGCAACAAGGAAATACACCTAACAAGGAAAATAACTTCGAAGTGGCAGAGATTTTATTTATTTGAACACATAAATACTGGTACAAAGGGGCATCAGATATATATGCTCCACACAAATCCTATTTGATTTGTATGAGGGATGTGATAGTACCCGGGTGCCCAAAGCGAAGCAGGTGATTTTCTTGGTGGAGGGAGGGCCACACTTGGAGCCTTTGACCTAAAGATCTGATCCACAAAGCAGTGGAACATCTTAAGGAGATGGCATAGATGTCCTAACATCAGAAATATATATCATCTTCAATAATCTACTTTGAATACATTCGGCTATATTATCTTTCGTCGCATTCTAAACATGATTATATCATTGTGCCATTCGATTGAAAAGTGGATAACTCACGTGCTTGAACCAGTCTAAAGAGCGATTTGTCAGTATCCTCTGTATGATGCGTTTGAACTTGTTAGTCTTGTAAGTGATATGAGCGTCTTAATTAAGACGATAGTTTATGCTGAAAACGCATTTTTAGTATAGTAACTAACTAAACAAATACACCATATTTAAATTGGTGAACGGTTAACTTAGATATGAATACCGAGAATAATTTTTGCTCGACAATTTGTCTATTACTTAATCATTAAGTTTTATCACAATAACAAAATGAAAAGCTGTGGCCAGTCCAACCGTATTGGGTGAGAAAAGCACCTAATGAAGACAATAGATGGTTGCGCAACATTGTCGATTGATTGAATTTAGATAAATACACTATTGGATATCGATCTACTCAGTGGTTTAAAGGTTAAGCGTTCGCGCGCGAGACTGAAAGTTTCGGATTCGATTCCCGGTGGTGGGGACATGGGTGTATACTGCCAGGAATGATTTCCAGATCCGAAAAGAATGGCTGTCAAGCAATTACAGATTTTTAATGGTTATGTCTAACCTATGTAAGTTCGTGATCTCAACAATATTCAATGTTTTTCACAACTTCCATATTGAAAAAAAAGACAAACGCTGAGCATAAATAGAATGATAAGGATTCAGTTTTTATATTCAACTATCCTTGTAAATATACTCGAAAAATACCTGATACGGAGAATCATGAGGCCGACACCAGCAATACAAAATATTTACATGAAGTACTTATGTATAGATTGCGTGTAAATAAACAGTTCCATATAAACATGCTAGTAGGATGACTGATAATTGAATCTTTTAAACCTAACAACAATAATTCAATGATGAGATAATAGAAATACAATCAGTCAGTCAGTTACCACGTAGAACTTCGTACGTACGTACATCAGTTCGAGTTGCCATACCACATTAGCACAGAGATGAAGTTGTCGATTCAAATCCCATATATTGAAAAAAAACGGCGATTCATAAAAACCATAATGGGAGTACTAAGAGACCGAATAGAGAGATACCGGATAGAAAGTGTTGAAATGAGGTGTAAACACTTGACACTATTGTGTTTACTACAGAGAAGACAGTAAATCAAAAATGTGACAATTTCTATATTCAGGGGTAAAAATATGGAATGCTTTTGGTGAACAAGCAAAGCTTGTCATAAGTCAATTTCGTACAATATCAATACATTCCCTACTTAGAGTATGATTTTTTTTAAAAAGGAATGTAACTATTTATAAAATAGAAAACTAGGAAAGAACTATCTACAAATAGAAGAGATTCATATTACACACAAAGCGATCAAATAGACTATTTACTGGATACATTTCCATCACTTGCGAATAGTGGTGGCATTGTAACTTAACAGTATTATCAACTCAGTCACTAAACATAACAGATTAGAGTATTTGAATTTAAGTCACATTCTAAATGTAAGGGGTTAATAGTACTACACAATCAAGTTGCTGAAATACAAGTTTATAAGGTGAAGTTCAAACCTTCGTATTAATGTTTGAAAGTTAAACACTGAGTTATAACACATAGTCTACTATACCAATTATTATTAACCACAAGCTAGATGTTCGTTAATGAGTATAAAAAGAACATTGAATATACAAAATCACTCATTTCCATTTTTAGTAATCCTCATTTTTGACGACCATATCACGTTGAAAGCACCGGTTCTCGTCCGATCACCGTAGTTAAGCTACGTTGGGCTTGGTCAGTAAGTAATCCTTATTTCGGTGTTATAATTGCACACATAAAATTAAATTGTACAAAAAATATGTTTGGATTCATGCATTATTGTTCTGAATCTTTCCTTAACCGGAAACAGACTTTAATATATTCAAGTATATGTTCTCTATTTAATTGAATGTACCCTGTTAACCAGTTGATTTAACCTGCTATCAAGAAAACCTTTTTAATGTGTAATTGGGTTGAAATGAAATATGTAGCCATGTTTATAGAGATTAACATGTAAACTTGTATAAAGACAGGGTTTACCTACTCACATGTACACACTACAAAATAGATTTATATACATCATGCTTTTGCATTCCAAGTAGAAACGATGTAATTCATTGCTGTAATAAAAAAAATTAATGCGCCATTGTATGTTTCAGCTGTACATTCAACTCATTATAGATACCATGATGAAATGTCCCGTTTATTTTGTTCAGTTTTTTTTTATTACGATTTCTGATTATTATAAAATAAAGCTAAGTTAATAAGTTAGTACCTCGAAGACAATAAATGAAGGTTAGAAACAAGGGATTAGTAAAATTACACAAACATAGAAAGAAAAAAAAGAAAACACTTGTAACTTATCAGAATGGATACTGTATATCCGTATGTGATATAAATGTATATGTAGATGTGTGTGTACGATAGCGAGAGAGAAAGAAGAGAACAAAATAGAACATGAACATATGGAACACAAGATCCAAATAGAAGAACAGTACGAAAGACAACAACAACAACAACAATAAACCATCACTAAGATACATGAAAAGGAGAAGGGGAAGAAAAAGAGTGTAGATAGTTTGATAACAGAAAGTGAGACTTCATTTCCTTATGTCCCATTGCTAATATTAACAAAAAAACAGACAAAACAGATATGATACATTGGTGAATATATGTATATAGGCTTATGAGGGCTATGGAGATACCTTATTAAAGGAGATTACAAAAAATAGTAGTAATAATGACCATAATTGACAATAGCATGTAGTGGTAAACATGTACGTACGTACGTACGCACACATAAATACATACATACATACACACACGACTGATCCTAAAACTACAAGTTGGTCAATAATAAGTATTACTAAGTGAGAATACAAACACACTTGAGTACAAATCCGATCCAGAGTTTAGTTGTTGTTGTTTATTTTCAAAGTGTTCATCGTCGACAGTTTGCATTTACACATTGGGGATGATATACAAACATTATAATTTATAGATCATTATTATTATTATTATTATTACCATTAGATACACTGGTTTATACATAGAAATAATTTAGATAAGAGGCTAATTGAATAAGTCAATATTGTTTATGAATAAAATCCTCATAGGACAAATAATATAAAAACATATCTATCTATATGTATATGTATAGATAGAGAGAAGGGGGGGAGAGAGAGAGAGAGCAAACCTTTAGAATATTATATTGTTGTGACTGTGCATGAAAAAAATAGTAACAATAACAATAATGAAAGGAGACCAGTTTAAAAAAAAAATTACACACCTAATAAATCATACAATTCTTCATCTTTCGAAGGCATTTTTGCAGTATTCAACCTTTTGGTCGATAATGGAGGTGTATGAATAGTAGTAGTAGGAGTAGTAGTGATGGTTGTAGTAATAATTGAAGAGGATAATTTATCTACAATATTTAATTCATTATTATTGGATAATGGTGATGGTAATGGTGAAGTGACAGGATGACATGATTTAATCGGAGAACCAGATGCTTTAACTGCAGCTAATTTATCTGCTATTAGTTTACGTTTAGCTAAAAGAACTGGTAATAGGCTAGATGATGATAATGATGTGGATGGAAGTGTAGAAGATGAAGTAGAGGATGACGATGTCGATGAGGTTGAATTCTGCTGAATATGATGAGATTGTGCTTTAGGTGTCATTTCTGATTTACCTACACTGATTATAGGGTTTGAGTTAGAGGACTTAACAGATTTTTGTGAACTAGCTGCCGACATAAACAACTGTATACGTGAATCAAGATCTAAGTGGTCAACACTAGGGGATGTTTTTGCTTCAAGTTGGTCAGACGGACCAACAGAGCTAAAAGATAATGATGGCGGGGGAGGCGGAGGCGGGGGTGGAGACCCTAAACTAGCTGAATTTGAATAATCTATTGCGCCTGCCTCGTAAGCGGCCACTTGTTCAACACGCGACATGACAGATTCTTCATCTTCTTCATCATGCATATGGGCAGTGGCTGCAGCGACGGCCGATGCTCTGATTGTTCGACCTCCTGTAGATCTTATCGAGGAATTGGTTACATGATTAGATATAGATTTATATGGTGTATCAGATCGTGTAGATGAAACGGCAGCAGCAGCCATTCGTTCTTCTGTTGCACGTATTCGTGATAGGACATCATCGACTTTTGCTTCTAAATCAGCTGTTAAATTTTCAGGTTCATTTGTAATAGTAGTAGTTGTATTGGTATTAGTGTCGGTGGCATGATTCGATGATGATTCAGAATTATTATTTGAATTTGTATTATTTTGTAATGTTTGTTTATTATGAACATCAGTGGAAGTAGGTAGTGAATCAGTTTTTGAAGTACTTTCTATTACAGAATCTTGAATTGAATGAATACGATTTTGATGAGATGCAATTAGTGCTTGTGCTTTAGAGAGCTATGGAAAAAAACCGAACAAATCATGCTGTAATTCTATTAATTTAACATAAGAATAATGAAAAATACTTTTTATATAACAGTACTTACTTAGCAGTTTGGTGTTATACAACACGACAAAACTAATCAACATACAAATCTTGACTGTATCAAATAAGTAGCAACTAGGTTACAGCGCCGAACATTAGCTTTTCGTCTTCTCAATTTCGTAAACAACACTCCCACTACGAGAAGGCAGAGAATCGGACTTTCCTGACAGCGGCTGTAAGAGTGTGGCTGTGTGAGAGCATTTTGAAAGAAAGAGCTAACCCTTCCCACTCTCAGCCGTACGAGGACATTTGGGGGATTAAGTCTTAAGATTGTATAACAACTCATAAGATGAAATCGAGTAAGAATCTTTCTCGTATTTCATTAGGTGTGCGCATATATAAATAATAAAGTGGTTTTAGAAAAAGCTTAAATTCTTGTTAGATTCGAACTATTGCTCTAACAAACTGGTACAAACGTTAAATAATCATGCATTATTATTATTATATAAAGAGATTGATGGAAAATACTGTTTACATTATCAAAATAAAGCGTTGTCCTAAGATGAGAACTCAGATAATCTAGTTTGTTTGATTATTTCTATAATACCATTTGATGTTAGTATTTTGAAACGTCTTTGCCATGAAGTCATTTTATGTTACTATGTAAACAGTGTTGTACCTTTTCAATTTTTCCACTTTATATTTGGAATATAAATTTTATCCTCTATTTTATATTCACAATATCTATTAATGACCACAATGAGTGTGTTGTGTGTTAGATGTTCAGTTTATTTGACTTTCTGTTCATTGCATTGCATTAAGAAAATCTTCAGTTGTTCTTAAATAGAACTGATAAGTTAATGAGAACCTTTTAATCACAATTGATTGATCACTGGGTGGTGATCAATGTCATGCGTGTCAAGTCCTTCTTAGTGCTGACCGAATGCTATCGATTAAGTTGCAATGTGGTCACTAGTCTAGGTGGCTCGACACTGCGTGCACCATATATATTTGGATAAGATGGTGGTTGGAGGTGATCAACAGGAAACCCTGGATCCGGGTTTCGTGCTACTTGGCAACTCGTCAGCAAGATGTACCTGTAGTCTTGAGGGAACCGGTGTTCCCTGACGGATTCGATCCCGTGTCACTCAGCTTCACAGTCAGAGACGTTACCACTGAGCTACTCGGGCCACACAAGGTCATTATTCCTAAGAATTAAATCTTAACAAGGATGATTAGATTGATATTTTTGGAAGAAAACGACCATACACTACATTTATATACCTCTTCTTTGGTTGTATTTGCTTGTAAAGATTGAAAAAATTGAAATGTTGTTTGAGCAGCTTCACGAACTTCACTTGACAGTTTATACCGTCGACACTAAAACAAATATTAAGACAGAAATTTGATGAATGGTTGATTATAGAATATCACTGAATCAAATATGTCTATTGATAGGAGTAGAAAAAACGTAGTTTGCAGAAGTGATATGAATTAAAACTCAAAGAATTCTTATTAGCTCTAGTGAACTCTAGCATTAATATATTCTAATTCAGTTTATTTACACGACTATGAAGGGAGATATGGATATAAACATTTTACAATATATCGGAGTGAGGAATTGGAGAAATAATAATAATTGACTAACGAAAGCTTCGTTCATAGATGTTCACAATGAACACCTCCATCTATCAACATTTTGATTCGTTGAGGTAGTCGAAACATGTGTTTCATATGTCCAACTACAACTTAACTTAACGGATGATTTTGTTTGACGTAGGAATAAATTGAAAAAAAGTTAGGGGGCGGTCAAACTAAAACATGTAATCGGTCAATGGAGCTATGAACTGCTGAACTAAATCGTGTAAACAGATGCAGGCAACCTGATTGAGGTTTGTGTGTCGACGGTAACTAGCGATTGGAGATTTCATGTGACACGGTTCAGAAACGTCCGCAATAGTAAAGGAACATTCAATTTATACTATTGTTATAAACGGTTTTATTCCCTTAGTTTCCAGATCCGGAAATCTCCTTATAATCTTCTGTGAATTATGAATGGTAACTCTAAGGTCTATTTATCGACCAATGTATTATGCCTATTTCCTATTGTACAATTATTACGTAACTAAACTATTCATATTCGTATTTCTCTTATCATTAGCTTTATTTTGATCTTTGATTTAATATCATACGATTCTTGAGTTGTAATCAGTTTATTGATTACTTTGGTTTGTATAAAAACTCAGTATGTTTGTAAATAATGATTCATATTGCCGAGGCTGTTATTTGTGTTCTGGACTTAACTGGCTGAGCTAGGCAGAAAGCAGGGCCTGATACGCACTCAAGACTGCTCGTACGATTTCAAGTATCATTTGCGTCCGATCAATAAATTCACTCCTCTCTAATTGCAAGTTCATATATATTACGAGTCCATGCGTTATAGCACTTCTCTTTTCTACTACTACTAATGATACTGTGTTAATACTTCTACTCATGGATCTGCCTTGACCATTTTATCTTACTGTGATAATGTGGTAAGACACACTGAGTTGATGTATGTATGTTCTAGGCTCTGCGTTGCATATGACTAAGAGATCAAAACCAAACAAAATTATTCACTTAGTATTGTTTGTTTGGATCTTCCCATCGATGTGTTTAGGACTGCAACTGATCAGTCTCTAATTGGCATATGTGCATACTGTGCGTATTGCCTCGATATACCTTAATTCACCTCTGCTTACCAAACAAAATTATATTTCAAAAAACGAAATAAAAGTGAGTTTATCAGAGATTTCTTAAAAATGAATGTTTAGTACGTATGATAGGACATCTCTATTTCGTTAGGGATTTATTCTTTTCAGAATTTTTGTCGTTAATTAACATTACCAAATGAAGAAGTACTATTGGCAAATAAACTAATACCTATAAGAGGGGAGGGCATTTGTTATCATTACTCCATAATGATCTGGTTGCATGATTCGAAGTTGAAACCAGTAAGGGTATTTTATTATTTATTTATTGAATCCACATAAGATCTAGTACAAATGAGCACCAAAAATAGTATGGAATACATACCCAAACCAAAGCCAGCGATCCTCTCGAAAGATTACTCTACAAGCCTTCCACTTGAAGGTCTATTCCATGAAACAGTGAAACAAAATCAAGCGCCAGCATCCCATAGTAACCAGAGACAGAAAATAGGTTACGATTACCATTTAGTCCTCCATTGTCTTTGACGCTGCACATTATTAGTTTGGGATCAGGATGTTCCAACTATTCTAGGTGAACCCTCCAGATCAAGTGATCTGGTTTACTAACTGAACGTTTGTTTTTCGTCGCCAAAACCATTTAAATAACACCGTCACGAGGAGTGAGTGAGTAGAACTTCCCTGATAGAAGCTACAAACGTATGTCTATATGAGGGCATTTCAGGGAGGACAGAGGACTCTTCCGTTCCATAGATTCGTGAGGTAGATACGTTCAGTAAAATGGACTCGGCATATATTGTCCCAAGAATAATTAGCATTTACCAAGTTAGTGAATAGTGGCAACAATCTATGGTTCGAAAGTCACATTTTTTTATTAATTTAATTTTTATTATTTAATTTCTGGTCAGTTCTTTCTAGCAAAGCCCTCTCGAGTGTGAGATGGGACAGTTAACCCCCATCCCTGATCCTCATCTTTTATCCGGGCTTAGGAACAGAAGTAACTCTAGAAGAGCTTTAGGCGAAGACGCTATAATAGAATCAAACTTCATCACAAGACAAGCCCTGACCAGGAATCTTTAAGGCGAAAGCAAAAGAGGCAGATCAAAGAACATATTGTGTTGGAAACTGGAAACAGACGTGAATAGCATGAATAGTACGAAAGAAATAGAAAGAGGGGGCCACGATAGAGTTGATTGGAGTTCTCTAGTCGGTGCTTATCATTCACGAAGAGCAACAAATGTAAGTAAGAAAACTTGAATCAGCGACATTAAGGTTGAAATCTAACGAGGAATAATGATATATATTCAGGTACATTCTACTAAGAGATTTTAAACAGATGGAAATGAACGACTCTGAACATCACTATGGGATACCATCAGATGTTATTAAAAAAATAATCCGCCATTTGAATCTACAAGTATTCGATGGAAATATTACAAAATAAAAATAAGCATTGGTATTAACATTTTACAATAGTTAAATTATATACAAAGTCAAAATATTAACTTTACTCACTTTTTTAATACAATCCATAAGATCCCAAGCTTCAGCTAACTGAGGAAGTCGAACAGGGATAGAACGAACCTTATTCAATAATTGTACCGCTTCGACAAAATTCTCATGACCTTTGATTAGACTGGTTTTTAGGTCACGACAGCATTGATTCAATTGAGTGACAGGATCATTCGATGGTGTAACGTGACGAATACCTGTATTTGTATTAGCAAATATTTAAAAAGATGTGAGGGAAATAACTAACTGATCTCAGTATGAAGGGTTTGTGGAGATTTTTGAAATCACAACCCGATTACTACTTTTGATAGTGTTGCTACTTTTTCCGTTACTCTGGGATTTGTCTTGATAATTTTAGACATCCGTTAAAAAACAAGAGGCAGTAGACGGCTGTTTTGCTCTAGCATCGGTCTCCTCAGCAGTGCGTACCCACGATTCAATCCAAACGGGTCTAACCCAAGACCTTCAGTCTCATAAACAAACGTTTAACCTCTCTAGATCATTAACCTGACATCCAATGGTTTACATGCCTAACTTCGACCAATAATTAGTAATATATCTTAAGGAAACATTAACAATTTAAAGAGAACAGAAATCAAAGGAAGACTCGGAGCTAGTACGATAAAAAAAGAACTAAACAAGCAGTAGCTAGTTATAAACAATCCTATATCTGGTGTACATCGGCTCCCAGTGTCACAATGAAAAGGGAAATAACAAAGTGAAAAGCATTGAAATTGCAACATCGATGGAGGTGAAAATTATATCCAGTAAATTCAAAAAAAGAATTAAATTGGTGGATGAAAAAATTATGAACCTTCGAACCTAGAAATTTGAAGATGAATAGATGTAACTGTAGGTTATAGGTGTTTAGAATAGCTCAGTAGTGACACCTCAAACTGTGAAGCTGAGTGAGGAGGCCCGAGTCAATACCTTCATGATTACAGGGACACTTTACTTATTAGTACCCATTAACACGAAACCTATGTCAATTAATGTCCCCTGTTGACTACGTAGCAACCACCTTATATCAAAACATAGTGCATATGATGTCGAGTCACTTAAACTAGTGACCACATTGCAACTTGATCAACAAAATTCGATCCTCACTAAAGGAATAGACAAACATAACATTGGTCTCTACTCAGTGATTAATCAATTGTAAACGCAAATTGTATCAGTTATCGAGTTTCCAACCTATTTGTTATCCTATTATTTCATATCTAGCCTGACATTCAAGCAACATAAATATAATCATGATCTAGCACTCTAATACACAGAGCGTGTAAAGAACTCTAACTAGGTATTGAATCGAATAGGTTATACCTAACTCTTCATTCATTGATGTCATGTTTAGAGTTCTATCATTTTAGATACTATTTTCCATCGTCTCCTTTGCATCTAGTTTATTTCCTCTCACTGTGGTAACATGAAGTATGGCAACATCATCTACTGATTCAAGCTTATATCAAGTCTTGTGTGAGATGATCACTGACTGATAAAGAATTTAACAGAATATTAACATGTAAAGTCTTACAAATGCGATTCTTAGGGAGAAACAAAAGCTTGTAACTGATAAGTCATCACGTTCGGTAGCAGACATGATGATGTATAAATCTATGGAATCAGTTAAGTAAATCTCAAGTAATAAATTTGTTAACGATCCAAACATTCAGATGATATCATTACATGTAAAAAAAAAGAACAATTTAATTGACATCGCTTGAGTTCTAATAACCTCACAGCTAGATTTCATATACCAAACAGATATTCGCAAAACAGTAAGTAGAATCACGTACATATTCAGTTACGACGTAGTTGTTTGTAGCTATAGATCTTCATAGTTTAAATCATGGATTGCTTTTAGCTAGAACACTAATGATAACTTGAAAGCATTGAATAGCCGTTTCGTCCTAGTAACCGACACCTAAGCAATGGGCATCGAAGGCCCTGAAACCGACAAATGGATCTAGGACCTTCGGTCTCACGTCCAAACATTTAACCCCTAAACCACTGACCCTATAACCAACGACGTAGAATGTCTCAGTTAAATTAATTCACAACATTGTCCAACCCTCATCGATTGCCTGCGGTGGATAACTGTTTTACACTCGGAGCGATCGAACTCCACTGGTCAAGGCTTTTCATTAGAATTGCATCTTGGAGTTAGTCGCTATTAGTTAGCGAATAATTTTTATCAGCAATGATAGATTTATAGGGATTGTAGGATTTTCATGGTTTAAATCACGAACTGGTCCTAATCAGTAATCTAAAATACATTTAGTTGTCATGAAAAGTAAGATAAGAATTTCAAAAAACGAGCAAAAATCAGAGAGATGCATACAGATACAAAAATAACTGATTAATCACTGAATAATGACAACCGTCACATATATCTAGTACGTTAGTGTTGTTAATCTAATTCTATCGATTAACTTATAAGGTGACCAAAAGTCTAACTGAATCAAAATCACATCCATTATGTTTAAATGTAAGGCGATAGTTGAATGTAATCGACAGGAAACTCTGAACCTAGACTTCGTTTTATTTGGCACTCGTGATCTTGAAGATGGTACCTCCCAGCGGATTCGAGCCTATGTCACCCAGCTAAACAGTCAGCGAAAATACAACTGAGCTTTTTGGGTTAATGATCATCCGTAGAATTGAGACTTATTTACACTTAATTGAGTAGTAGTGACCAATGTCATGTTGATCTAGTCGTGTATACCATGACATATTTGGTCACGTTTCTCTTATTAACAAAGGGAAATATAAAATATACATGGTAAAAACTTACCACTTGAATCGTTAGAGGCTCTAAAAATCATTAAAAAAATACAGATCTTTTAAAATTACGAATTACGGATAAAATTAAATACAAACTTTTAAAAATTACAAATGATCTGGTTACTCTATAACTGGATTAAATTTTGAGTCCATTTTTTTCGTAACAATAATAATATTATGTAATATGTAATAATAGCCCTTCAATCGTGACTCACTAGTTAGGACGTTTGGCACTCACCTAGTAAGTTGTAAGTTTAAAGCGCATATATATCTACTCACTGACTTCACCCGTCATTACTGTTGTTCACGAAATTGAGAGGATGAAAAGCGAATGTCCAGTAGGAGCTTTAACCGATTGGTGGGCACGGCGCGTCCACCTAGAAGAGTTCAAAAACCCTGATTCCAAGCCAATGGTGAACATGAGCTCCAGTATTCCGAGGGAACAAATGGCGTATGAACCTAATGTTGGTCACCGGCTACCATAGAACTGCATCTCCTTACGATGCTTCTCTGCCTTGTGGATCAGACCTTTAGGTCGAATGCTCCGGGTGTGGCCCCTTAAGAAAACCATCTGCTTCAGTTTGGGCACCTAGACAGTATCATAGCTCTTAGGCAATTAAATGAAATGACAATTTTTCGTGTGGCGCATATATATCTGATGCCCGCTTGAACCAATATTCATGTGTTCAAATAAATAAAGAAAACAACAACCAATTAATAGCCTTAATGAATATAAACAAGTAAGATACAAGTATGATAAACTGGCTAAACTTATTCTCTTTTTCTAGATATTTACAAATCATCATTCATTTAGATGGTCTAAAACAAGAACTAATAAGTATTTCAGAATGGAATCTGCATTTAATAAATGTAATTGATCACAATTACGATTCACATGTACGGTTAAGACTTTTTATAAGTGAATTTTGAGCTAGATGGTTTGGCCGTGGAGCTTTCATCGTCTTTCTGAACGATATCATCAGCAAAAACTTCGGGTAAATGTTTGATTTACAGAAGATTTATGGAATCAAATAAACTAAGCCAATTAAAAAGTTGGTTGACAATTAAATGAGTTAGTTTTATTATTGCAAAAAGCTACAAAGCTAGTATTACCGAAAATCAACTAACTGTGGTAGTCCATCATAGCAAAATTAAATGTCACTACACAGTTGATGACCTTAAAGTTTGGGGAATAAAAATAAGTTAGTTCAGGACTCAAACAATTACTCCGTGATCATACAGAACCAACTGAGTTGAATCTAAAGTGGTCGCTTGGATGAATATCAAAATAATCAGGGGTGTCTAATGGTCTAGAGTTGCTTAGTGTTTAAAACATTAGGATTTCAGCCTTCTAGGATCAAAGGCCCATTCTATCAAATTCAGTTTGGGCAACTGGGTAGTACCACTGGCTTATACGAAAATGCCTGGCGAATGATTTAATTATATTATGATGTTAAGAAATCCTGACAATTTTTTACTTTGGTCAGATTCTAACTGGAATACAGTGATTAACCCATTTTACATAAATCAACGCTAACGGACGGACCAAATTCCAAGAGATTCTTATGTAAATTCAAGTCACTAAAATATTTATTGTTTGCTCTTAATTTTTGACCTGATATGAGGACAATCTAATTCAGCACAGTATGTCCAAGTGGTGTATACTTGACAGTAAAGTAGTATATCAAGATTATCAATAGTGAAAAGAAAATCAGCTACATTTAAAAAAGGAATTAAGTATCACTGTATGAAAGAGAATACTATCAAAATCAATATTTCTCTTACCTTTTTTCATCTCGTACACTGGTATTTGATGCGGTAGTCTGTTTGACTTCTGATTGTTTGCTTTTCATTTTCAAATTATTATTATTATTAGTTTTTTGATTAGATTTTTGATTTCTCGATTTTCTAGGTCGATTTGATTTGTTTATTGTTGAGGATTTTGGTGAAGAATCTCGACTTTTCTCTTTCAACTGTGAAGATAGTTGGTCTTTGCTCTTTGAATTCTCTATGTCAGAATCATTTGATGATGATAAAGGTGATGGAGATGATGATGAGGAATCATGTAGGTTGATTACTTTCTTTTCAGGATTTATTTCATCTTCATCTGAATCAAGTGATATAGAGATAGGTTTCTTTTTACGTAAACGAGAACGATGTTGTTCAGACTTCTTTTGTTTACTATTATTATTATTATTACTAGTAGTAGTAGTGACGACTCCACGTTTAGTGACAGCATCCGATAAAAGTTCAGAAACAGGTGATTTTGAATTGTTAAACCCCTCAACTGTCAATAAGTCAGTAGCTTCGTTTACTGCTACTGATTGTTTGACATCTTGTTCATTGTTCGTTTGAGAGTGATGACCAGTTGATTTTGATGATGACATAATTTTCATTTCAGAATGACACATTCTGTCGTCATCATCATCATTATCGTTAATTAATTCTGTTTTAGCTTTTTTCTTCGGAGGAATTTCACTACTTTCCAATTTCATTGCCCCATTTAATAGTTGAGAACTTTCATTATCGCTTTCATCAGAATGTAAAAATATTCCTGTGCGTTTATTTCCAATAGAATATTCGTGTTTATCATATTCTGAAGGTGTAATGTTTGAGAACTTCATTTCTTTAGTTAAAAGTTCTCCATCGGAAGAAGAGTTGTCATTTTGATGATTTGAAAATATACCATCATCATCATCATTAGGCTGATGTATGAATTCTATAAATTAACACAATTTTATAACGCATTACTTGACTGCATTGCATAATTCTTTGCATATAAATTTCAAAGTACCCATTATCACATTTACTAATAAAGTGAAATCACTAGTCGTCATACAGACTGTGGTTCTAAGCGAAGCACACACGTTTTGTCTCACTTGTGACCTATTAGCCGGACATACCTGCCAAATCCTAGTTTTGATGTTCATTCTGAGACTAAAACTTATGGCCTTTCACTTAATATTCAAATACGCTACACACCCAACTAGATATATATAGGCCCTTATAACTGAATTCATCACCGTTGCTCAAACCAGTGGTTGGGATGTGGCATATATATTTAACTGAAGATTGCTAAACAGGACGAAACGCACGTCCCAGATTCTACCACTAGCTACTATTCAGTTCTGTTTAGAAATCCTTGTGACTGATGGAAATAACGAAGCAATCCGTCCAGGATGTATACATACCAAGAGACTGATCAACTTCAGTTCTCCACACCAACAATAGTAAAATTCAAAGCCTTACAATTGAACTACGAAATAAGTGGTTTGAGAATCCCGATCAGCGATGGGTTACATAGTCACATTGACTAGAATGTCTTAATTTAGACATGTATATCTCATTTATTAGCTATACTACTAATTGAAAATGTCAGTAGTTTGGAGACTGGTCTTCAAAACCTTACATCCAGGATCAAAAAACCCTTTGTGTCGAGCTAGTTCCATTTCAGTTTTTTTCATATATGTGTAGAAGTAGTTAATTTAATGAAGATAATGTATAAAAGAAAGATTGTATATAAGAATATAGTACAGGAAGGAAGATAGATATGAAGCAATTTTAATCTCATAGTTTAAGGGAAGACAGAGAGTGTATACACCTACGTCATTGTGATCGATTCTGAGCCATGTCACCCAGTCTCCAACCATTTGTTACGATAGTCACACGGATCCCAACCAAGTAGTCTGCATCTACCAACATGGCACAGACTAGAAGTTAATGAATTCAACCACTGATGCCACGTTTTCGTTTGGTCACCCCTAACTCTCTTCCAATCATCCCCAATACTAGTCAGCATTGCGCGTCGTGGTAATCGGTGTTCAGGCATACGTAACACGCGGCCTAACCATCTCAGTCGATGAAGATTCATGACCTCATCAACGGGTTTACCATCATTCCATAATACCCTGTGTCTAACCTCACTATTACTTACCCGGTTATCCCAGCAGATGTCAGTGTGTAGATATCAATACTACAATCGAGGTAAATCTAGCTGCGACGTCTCAAAAAAGATAAAACATCAGTTCTAGATTCTGCTGCTAGCCACTAATATCCAAAATTACTAAAAATTCAGTGATGTAGCGTATAAGTTGTTAACATATATATTAAGTGATGAATGATTGAAAGGGAATTGCATTTCAACATGTAAACAATGAAGACACACTAGTAAACAAATGCCAAATAGCACAAAACTGAGGTCTAGAGTATTCTATCGACTACCTACCTTCAAATACCAAACAAAAAGTACTCTTATCATGGAAGGCTGATGTGACAATTGAATGAAGAAAAATGAGATATACAGGATAGTAATCACATTACAAGTAGGCATTCATTTATCACATAAATATATACACATTGAGAAGAAAACAAAAGATTTCGAAACTATAATGAATTGAAAAAAATTATTTTAACAACTAGAAAAATTATAAAAACTGTGAGACTAGGTCAGATAGACACAGTCAGTCATAGTCGGTGTATAGATTGGCACAAATAATATGAATAGGCTCAAATTGTCATACGATAGTAGCTATGCACAATGAATAAACACAAATAAGTTGTAATAATTGTAGTAATAAAATTAATGAGAAAGAAAGGTATGTATGCAAGAGTTATGGGACTCAAAGTCTAAAGTGAATGAATTTACGGCGTCGTGATGGACTATGTGTCAGGTGTGATGTAGAGAGCAATGAATTAATTGATTAGGAGTGACAACTGGGATATGAAATTGATCATCGATGACATGTAACCATATTTTGAGGAATAATTTAGTCCTACCCCGTTTGATTACAGATGCTTAATTGCAAGTTATTGAGAAATTGATGTTAATTACTACTCAGTTCAATTTATCTGATTGTATAGAAACCATTCAAACAGTACTATACTCATATATCTCACTTTGATTTATTTCCGTAGTTAAATAAATCAAAAACTGCTGTCTTAGTGTTTTCTCTGTGTGTCGTCGGATTCGAGGTTTTCAGTATCAAGCGCAAGCCAGCCAGGCATTTCCGCGGACATAACAATCGACAGACACAACAGTCAGTTAATTAGTCACAACGTAGAATGTGGTACATATGTACATCGGTTCAAGTTGCCAAACACCATGAAATTATCAAGCCAAAAAAATTGATCATTGAAAATACTATTCAAGAAAACAATCTAAATGATACAACAATGTCCTCAAATATCGTCAGTCACCATTCGGTAACACGATTTGAAATGGATTAATTATCATTGTTTATAAAAAAATCCTATCCCATGTATACAAATCGAATATTGGTGAACATTGAAGAAATTGTTTTCTGAACATGATAATAATATTGTGAAATAAAGAACATTTTGTGATGAATTAACTTTCAAACGAAGAGGAAATTAAAAAAAGACTCTGGAAGTGAATGGGATACACATTATGGAAATCGTCAACTGCATCACGAGGCAAGCCGTAACTTAGGATCCTCAAGATAAGAGGGAAAAATGCAGATGAAAGAACACATTGTGTCAGGAACTGCAGACACACATCGCGAAGATGAATGGAACTTTTGTACTGGAAGCCAGAGCTCAGAGATGGTGTTGGTTGCAAAATCCTGATCGTGGTCTGTGCTTCAATGAGGAGTAACAAGATTAAATACTTTGAGTTGTACACGACTTTCGTAAAAAAGGACCACAATTTTGATGGATGAACTGAAAAATTCCATGAACCTATGGTTTATCGTCAATGTGATTGTATAAGTAATGGTCTTAAGTAAAACTGAACTTTTTGTTATTAAGTACCTAACCTAAGAAAAAGAGTTTACTAGTAGTTTACAATGTCAACGTAGATTTTAATTTGGCAAACAATATCTATATCGATCATCAGACATAGTAGTATCAAGTTAACTATTGCAATTAGAATCCATACGATTAATGATGAAAAGCTAGTATAAAGTAGACGAATTTGCATCGAACATCAAAAGTGTTTATCAAATAAACTTTCAAACAAGCCAACCATTAAGCTTCACTTATACAGATATATAAACATAAAATGGATGTATAGGAAAGTAGTTCAACTGCAGTTTTACAAGCTTAAAACAAAAGGATTGCATAAAACTTACGAAGCGGGTTGGCACATTTATCCTCCAAGGTAGGCACGATGGGTTTGTTAGAACTGGAGTCGGTAGAATCTTCATTAGTTTGAACAGGCTCAGAATGAGAAGCAGAAGACCAGTGATTTTCATCCCATGCATGATTACTAGAGCTCTCTAGGTTAACGTCAGGATTTCTCGTATTCGATTCTTGAACATCAAAATCTAAACTTTCTTGTTCCGTTAAACGACATTTTTCCAGTTTATGAAGACGTTTTAATTCACGTTTAGCTTCTCGTCGAGCACGTCTTTCAGCTCGTTTCTCTTTTGCTAATCGTTTTGCCTCTCGCTTAGCAGCCTTCTTTAAAGCTTTTTTCTCAGCTTTTTTCTGCATTTTACGAGCAAGTCGACGAGCTTCTCTATTCTCTTGATAAGAATCTTTTTCATCAGATGGATGATCAATTGTTGAACTAGGGCTAAGCAACTCCGGACAACTTATATCCACTTGCTGATAATTATTAAACTGTAAGTGATGATTTTTATCATCTATCAATGTCTCTTCATCATTACTATCTTCAGGAGCTGGGTCTAAGCTATTGACTCTCGATTGATCTGTGCTTATTTCACTCGATGTATCATCACTGACACGATTTATTTGATCATTACTACTTGTCCCTCGTTTAGTAGTACTGAGTGGTTGGTCATTGTCAACTTTTGACTTCCTAATCACCCGAAGATCAAGTAAGAATGAAATATTCAAATTTTTAAATAAATACTTGATTATATATAGCATTACAATTTATTTGATAAAATATCAGTCGGTACTGAACATTGAAGAAATTGGGTGTAAAAATGATTAACACTAATGATCAAACTCCCACAACTTAAACATGCCTTACATTTGCATAGACCATGTTTCATAGCCATGAAGTAAGTACTACAAAGTGGAATATTATGTGGTAATGATTTTGATGGAGTTTTGTTCTCTGAGCTGGATGGTTTGGTCATGGAGCTTTCATCGTTTTTCTGAATGACATCAATAGCACAAATTTCAGGTAGAAATATTGGGACTTTAAATAAACAAATGAAAATCTCTACTGCAGAAACGTTTTACACTTGGAGGATGAAAAATATATACCGAACATGCTTTCACTGTTGTACAAGGTGATCAGAACAATCTGCATTTGGTTCAGGTTATCAAATGAATTTTCTGGTACAAAGATCAATCAAGTTAAGCGAAGAAAGTGTTAATCCTAAAAGAATGTTTTTGATGAGGCTAAATAAAAATGGAGAGTGAGCAATCCTTGATATTACGTACTATGATAACAGTTTTTCGAATGGATTCACGCAGAGAGCCATTAAAAGGTTTATGCATTATTTCTATAGATCTCATGACAAGCACTACCACAAAACTTCCCGATCAATGAAGTCGAGAAGTACCACTACAGTCCGTATATTTATTCTCCATATTCTCCATATATAGCCTTTCTTTTATATACTACCACCATCAAATTAACTACTATGAATCCGGTGTTCATTTTGTTGTGCTAAGGAGGTATGGCAACTTTGACCGATGCATATATGTGCCTGGTCCCAAATTTTAGCTGACTGGTTGACTGATTTATTCTCCATAACCTATCGAAGAGTACATATTTGACCAATACATTCACATCCAGATTTGAAACCCAGTTCCTCTTCTTGATTTCTTTTCGAGCTCCATTCAGGCGTCAAGTGACTAGAGTGAACAACATTCTAGACATCATACTAGTTAATCCGACTCCTCTGTTATTGTTCAACGAGGATTTTCGTCTTTTCTCATACACTGAAACGATAGGAAATCGAGACCAGTAACATGAAATTACATTTAATTCTCAGATACGTGTTAATACCTCAGTAAGTCGAACTTATAAGACTCAGTCACTATCATTAGAAATCGATGACATTATCCTGCCGATCTGTAACACTTCACGTTAGATATGGTCTTTCCAACCATGCTAAGAGTTAGTGGACTTGTGTCGATTTTTTAGGTACGCTGCATTGGAATGGAAGGCTATTGAAAAATATCTGTAAGCCAGTTTCCAGGATTGAGAGAGTGGAACACAGTCCCAAAGGGACTCATTCCAACCCCTCTTGTTGTAGGAGAGTAATATTGCTGGAGATGTTGACTGTTCGAGGGAAATACCTTACCAACATCATACATGAGTACAGTTGGTAGCAGTTCCACCTCAGACCATAAATTTTCTGCTTTTGATGTTACAGCACTAAACCTAACACGGATAACAGGCATGGTACTATCTAAATGAACAGACGTTTCAGTCAATATAGGTTGATTAGTTCGTTACGATAGGCAGGTCTGACCACGATGTCAAGAAGCAGCTGCCGCAGAACGATTTAGGATACAGATACCTCCCAATCAACATACTACTTCGGTTTATTGTGGAATTAAAGTATTTAGAAGCTAAATTATTTTCAAACTGAAGGATTCTACAGTTATTATGTAATATCTAAATTTTCCAGATTATATATGACAGAATTTAGTGTATGGAATAAATGTGCATCAATATAAGACACCAAACTTCAATAGAGTATAAAGAGATCAACAAGACCCAGGTGCTTAAAGATGATTGTACTGACAGTAAAGTAAGGGGAACAGAATCCACTTAGTGGTCCTCTTAAAACAAACTGGAATACCAAAAATAGAAAATTAAAACGACTGCCTCCGCCTGTAGCTCTCCTAGAGTTACTGCCGGTCCCAAGCCCGGGTAAAGGAGGAGGGTTGAGCATGGGGTTAGCGACCCCATCCCGTAGAAAAGCTAACTCGCTAAAAAAACGCTAACCAGAAAAAATAATTCAAACCATTTAAACTCTGCCCTGGGAGTTGAACGAATAATTATGACGTCTCATGATGAAAGCCGAAATTCTTCGGAAGTCACGAGACCGATGCACCTTCTAACAACCAGAGCAACACTCTTTATAGGTACATGGAACGTCCGGACAATGTGGGAGACAGGAAAGACCAGCCAAATAGCAATGGAAATGAGGAGATACAACTTGGCAGTACTCGGAATCAGCGAAACCCATTGGACACAAACTGGACAACAAAGGCTAGGTACAAGAGAGATGCTGCTGTACTCCGGTCACGAAGGGGAAAATGCTCCACACACTCAGGGAGTTGCTCTAATGCTGTCCAAAGAAGCACGAAATGCACTTGTGGGATGGGAATCTCATGGACCCAGGATAATCAAAGCATCATTCAGAACAAAGAAGCAAGGGATCACAATGAACGTTATCCAATGTTATGCACCCACCAATGATAGCAACGACGATGATAAAGATCAGTTCTATGAGAGGCTGCAATCAATTATAGAGAAGTGCTCACGGAAGGACCTCACCATCCTTATGGGAGATCTAAATGCTAAAGTTGGAGTGGACAACACAGGATATGAAGATGTAATTGGACGACATGGACTAGGAGAGAGAAATGAAAATGGGGAGAGACTTGCAAACCTATGTGCATTCAACAAATTGGTTATAGGCCGCACAATATTCCCACACAAGCGCATTCACAAAGCTACATGGATCTCACCGGACCAAACCACAGAGAACCAGATAGATCACATCTGTATCAACAAAAAATTCCGAAGATCAATGGAAGATGTGAGAACCCGGAGAGGAGCTGACATAGCTTCAGATCACCACCTGGTTGTGGCCAAGATGAGACTGAAGCTAAAGAAAGACTGGACAACTGGACAAACAGCACTACAAAGGTTCAATACAGCCTTCCTTCGAGATACTGACAAGCTCCATGAATTCAAGATAACTCTCAACAACAGGTTCCAGGCTCTACAGGATCTACTGAAAGAACAAGAAACTACTTTGGAGGACAACTGGAAAGGGATAAAAGAAGCACTAACTTCAACGTGTCAGGAGGTTCTTGGTCCTAAGAAGCATCATCACAAGGAATGGATCTCTCTGGGAACCCTAGACAAAATTCAAGAAAGGAAGAACAAGAAACTAGCAATTAACAACAGCCGAACACGAGCAGAGAAAGTCAAAGCACAAGCAGACTACGCAGAAGCAAACAGAGAAGTGAAGAAAAGCATTAAAGCCGACAAGCAGAAATACATGGGAGAACTAGCAACGATGGCGGAAAAAGCTGCAAGAGAAGGGAATATGAGACAACTACATGATACAACGAAGAAATTGGCAGGAAGATATAGCAAACCAGAGAGACCAGTCAAGGACAAAGAAGGAAAGACAATCACGGATATTGAAGAACAGAGGAAAAGATGGGCAGAATACTTCGAGGAACTGCTGGATAGACCAGCCCCACTGAACACACCGAACATCGAAGCAGCCTATACAGACCTTCCAATAGATGTCACTCCACCAACGATCGAAGAAGTCAAGATGGCCATCAGACAAATCAAAAGTGGGAAGGCGCCGGGACCTGACAATATACCAGCAGAAGCACTGAAGTCAGGCATTGAAATAACTGCAAATATGCTTCACCTTCTGTTCAAGAAGATTTGGGAAGAGGAACAAGTGCCAATGAACTGGAAAGAAGGATATCTCATCAAGATACCAAAGAAAGGAGATCTAAGCAAATGTGAAAACTACAGAGGCATCAGTTTGTTATCAGTATCAGGAAAAGTTTTCAACAGAGTGCTGCTGAATCGGATGAAAGACGCAGTAGACGCCGAATTTAGGGATCAACAGGCTGGATTCCGTAAGGATAGGTCGTGCACAGACCAGATTGCGACACTACGGATCATCGTTGAACAATCAGTTGAGTGGAACTCATCACTATACATCAACTTCATTGACTATGAGAAGGCGTTTGACAGTGTGGACAGGAGAACATTATGGAAACTTCTTCGACACTATGGAGTTCCTGAAAAGATTGTCAACATTATCCAAAACTCATACGATGGACTACAGTGCAAAGTCATGCATGGAGGACAACTGACAGATGCTTTTCCAGTAAGGACGGGAGTCAGATAAGGCTGTCTACTCTCCCCATTCCTCTTCCTTCTAGTGATTGACTGGATTATGAAGAATTCGACATCTGACGGGAAATACGGAATACAATGGACAGCTCAGAATCAATTAGATGATTTGGACTTCGCAGATGACCTAGCCCTCCTCTCTCATACACACGAACAAATGCAGATGAAGATAGCAAATGTAGCAGCAGCCTCCGCATCGATAGGTCTCCACATTCACAAAGGAAAAAGCAAGATTCTCAAATGCAACACGGAGAACACCAACCCAATCACACTTGATGGCGAAACTCTGGAAGAAGTGGAAACATTCAAGTACCTGGGGAGCATCGTTGATAAACAAGGAGGATCTGATGCAGATGTAAAGGCGAGGATTGGCAAAGCAAGGGCAGCATTTCTACAATTGAAGAATATATGGAACTCAAAACAACTCTCAACCAATTTCAAGGTCAGAATCTTTAATACGAACGTCAAGACAGTCCTACTGTATGGAGCTGAAACGTGGAGAACTACTACGACCATCACCAGGAAGGTACAAGTATTTATAAATAGTTGTCTACGCAAAATACTCAACATCCACTGGCCGGATACTATCAGCAACAGCGTTTTATGGGAGAGGACAAACCAGCTTCCAGCTGAAGATGAAATTAGGAAAAGATGTAGGAAGTGGATCGGATATACATTAAGGAAATCACTAATGTGCATCACGACTCAATCCCTAACTTGGAATCCGGAAGGGAAGCGGAAAAGAGGAAGGCCAAAGGACACACTACGCCGGGAAATAGAAGCAGATATGAAAAGGATGAATAGCAACTGGAAAGGAAGGCTCAGGACAGAGTTGGATGGAGAATGCTGGTGAGCGGCCTATGCTCCTCGACGAGGGGTAACAGGCGTAAGTAAGTAAGTAAGTCTCTATCCAACTTCCATGAAACTACTGGTTTATTACCAGCACTGTAAAATCGCTTGATAATATTAGATCAAAGACTGTTTCGAGTTTCAAGTAAGGTCATTTTTATGGTGTGTTGCATAACTCCAATACCATAACACTAGTAGGTAGGAATGTCTGATAAATACTTGAACATTTTAAGGATCATATCAATTAGTTTGGCTGAAAAACAAAGATATTCACGAGGAGAGTATCGGTGAGGCAATTTTCCATTTCAAACTTCCCGCCCTTATTACCTGTAGTGAGAGGAAATAGATCATAACATAACAATGTGAAGATGAATTTCATCAACAGATACCAACCTGTGATCCAAACTATATTCCAATGAAACAAACTACTACAAACAAAATTTATTCTCCATAAATACACGTTGTTCAATATACAAATCCGAGTGTAAATATTCAATCAGTCAGTTACAACCTAGAACCTCATACGTATGTATATCGGTTACGTCGGCTCAAGTTGCCATACACCATTACCACACAGATGAAATTTTCAGGCAAAATCCCAGAGTAATACAGGTAGTAACAGTACTAGCACTAACAGGAAAGACCGGGTATTGAAGATACGATTCCAGAAGAAAATACAAATTAATGAAATAAAAACACAAGTCATGAGGAATGTAAGATCTCAGAATTTGTCCGAAGACAAAGAACGGATGCAACTGCACCATTTCAAACGATTTGAAGCCATGTCATTTAAAGTCTCCAACCATCGGTTACGATAATCACACGGATCCCAACCAGGTAGTCTACATCTATTAGCATGGCTCAGTCCAATTGTCAGTGACTTCATGGACTGATGCCATGTTTTGATTTGACTGCCACTAATTTTCTTTCGGCCTACTCCTACACCAGAAAACATCGACTGTTGAGGTAGGCGGTGGTTGGACATGTGTAACATATGTCCCAACCATCTCAGGATGCAAGTTCTACCTATTATGTACAATATAAAGAGATCATATTTTATTTACGACTAAACTAGCTAGAACTAGGTTGAAACCTCTGAACTGATGAGGAGCCGAGTATCTGCATTGACTAAACTTCTTTTGTTAAATTCAAGAAACTAACGTATTTTAAAATTAAGATACGGAAAATTACCTGGAATACTGACGTTTGTATTGGCGAACACATTCACTACCTACTAAAAAAGAAATCAGAAAACCAGTTTTTAAAAAATGAGTTCTACGGGGTGACCAATCGGCTAAATGATACATAACACGAGTGAAAAAATGGAAGCTTTTAATTTGATGAAACCCAATAATAAAATACAGGTTTTTGTACTCGGTATTCGGTAGCATTTTTCAGTTAGAACCAGTGATATTGATCGACTACCTAAACCAAGTCGACGAAGTGATGTTTAAACCTGATGTCTAAACGTTGGAAGTTGAGTGCTTTTATCATTAAGCTACATAAACTGAAGGATTTCAGATAGATTATATGCTATTTTAAGATATGGTGGGTGAAGGATGGAAGTGTAAACAGGCTATTGTGATTAAATGAATGAAATCCGATCAACAGCACCATCTGTGTCTGTCTGGATCAGACAATACATATACCTATGAGTTGTGTAAGTTGTTGGTCCTTTAGCATAGATTTCCCTATGTATTCTTAGTCCTCTTTCTACAGATGGTTGTTAAGCAAAAATAGGGAAAATTACTGTATGAGAATCATACCAATAGAGAACAATTAAATTACTGCGCAGCAACAACTATTGCAGCCAATATAAGTTGGTTGAGGAGCTATGATGAGGACCATCACGTCGAGGTGAGGGGTACGGCTACCAACTATACATACGAATCACTTTTGGAAGGAGTCGTTTCAAGTCTGATAAAGTGTTGTAAACTCGTAGTACGCCTCACAAGGTTGCTTGAGCAGTAGTAGAACTGATTACAAACCACACTATAAACTTTCTTGCAGCTCTACACACAGTATATATGAAATTTTAGTCCTAATATCGAGAACAATTACAACCAGGACTAGACAATACGCCTCAATGCATCAACACTCCACCCATTTACAATAACAAGATTGATAATCCCATTTATATACTCTGAAAATCAATAACGTATTATCAATGGTACTAGTTTGAGTGACTAGTGGGATTAAGAGTGCAGCATCAGTCATATTCAAATGAATCATATATAAATGCAGTTTTTTAAGTGCATAAGACTATAAACAGTGAGCCACAGATGCCTTTGAGCACTACTGCTTGCTTCAATTAGGTAAGGTATAATTATAATCCGGGAAGCTCAGCGGAAATATAAAATGCAGTTAGCCAAATTTGTAATCAAGCAACCAAGGAGACTATTCTCGTACATAAATTACAGAAAAAGGACGCGGTATTGGATTTCCAACCTAATTACAGAAGGTGGTGGAACTAAAATGATAGAGAATGATCAGGAAATATCAGAAGCTATAGCAACTATTTCGGGGCATTTTTCACCCACGAGCCTCTTCCCGGCGAAGAACTCGACCCAAATACGAAGTTAATAAACTGTTTGCTGACCGTGGACTTTGATCAAGACGATGTACGTAAGGCTCTTAAAACGTTAGACACGGGAAAGTCAACAGGACCGCATGAACTACACCCCGAAATCTTGGGACTAATTGCACAATATATTGCAGTCCCACTGACTGTGATATTCAATATGTCACTTGGTCAAGGTGAGTTACCTATGGACTGGAAGGATGCAGTCATCACTCCAATACATAAAACATGATCAAGACAACTTCCACCAAACCACAGATCTGTCAGCCTCATCAGTGTCGTAGTCAAAATTTCGGAAAGAATATTCGAAAAGACCATAATGACATTCATGAAAACCAACAACTTGTTAAACAATGAACAACAAGGTTCCAGAAAAAGTTCATCTATCTAATATATTTTTTTTCCTTCCACTAGATTGGGTCATTTCAGAGGGTATAGAAGGCGAGTAGAGAAGCCAAGATCGAACAAAACACCCGTGGTATATAGGTCTTCAAACCGAGTTAATTCTCGGAAGCTGTTACCCGAAGCAATGTGTCTGCGCCTTCAATGGACTCTTTCAAGAGAAGACTAGACACATGAAATCATACTGAAAAGGGAATAACGTAGGTCGTAGGCCTTCTATCCTTACCATACCTGAATCTGAAAATGTCTTTCCTCAAATAATCTTGATACTTTTTGCTAATGATTCCTAGTCAGAAAAATTAGATCGTACGAAGTGATTTCAGTGAGACTATACTTTATAGGTGACCTAGAAGTCATGCCAATAGTCTTTGAAAAATCCGCCTGTTTAGTGGGGTTAAAAGAGTTATAAATAAGTGAGGAATTATGATTAGGATTTAGAGTTACGTTACGGTTAGAAACTGAAGTTAAGGTCATTACGTACTAACATCAGTTATAAGGCTAAAATGCTATTTAACAACAGAGATAAAGGAACTCCGCGCCAAAATTCATGATTTACAGTCTCTAATTTCATTGATTTGTTCATAAACTGTAGTTTCGCCATGATATCCGCTACTTAAATTGAATCATGTTATTAGGGACAAATCAAACAACTTACCACATGTAGCAACAGGACCACAAGCTCCCTTTAAAAAATACTGTCCATGTCCCTATGTAAATTATTACAACCATATAGACACCACCTGAGTTTCAGAGGAAGATTATTGTATCCATTAATATTATTTTGGTCTACTACAGAGTCTCTTGTAACTAGTTTAGAGCTAAATTTATCGTGAAGGCTCGTGATAATACTCAGATAGTGGAACCGAATAATGTTGACTAGTTCGAATCTGAGGACCGCCGATTTACTAATCCCAAGCAGGAAATCGAGACACCAATACATTGACCGTGTGAACACTAGGGAACTTTTCATTAAAACCTAGTCTGTTGTGAAATTGAAGCAATTTCGGGATTAAGCTTTAAACAAAACGTCCTATCACGTGATTACAGAAAAATTTACATCCATTTGACTAAAAAACAGCAAAAGGTTACTTACTTGGTTTGAAGTCGTAAAATTGGTGCAGAAAATTCTCAGCTCTAGGATCCTAGGTAGGTTTCAGTCTAATAGAAATTAGATTACCTCTCCCAACATATAGATGCCTGGATTAGATTCGATTTCATTCATAGCTGCCATGAACTGTGAGCTTGGCTTTGGCTTTCCCCACTTATCTTTAAATTTCTCGTAAGGAACAATATTTTTGACGGAAACAAACGAACTGTATGAGGTAAATACAAAACTCAACAAGCTTACACTTGATAAGTTCCATAGAAAAATATAGGAAGTTTTCCTTTGGGTATTTGTACATCATGTGGAAGGGGGTTTACCTACAAATGTATAAGGATCATCATCAAAATACCCTAGCAGGCCAGTTGGGGAATCCTTTGATCTTAGCGAAAACCTTGTCGCCAGGGGAATGAGACATTGATTCTTCCCAAAGCAAATGCCAGAAAACTAGCAAAGATACGCCGAGTTCCGAATCACCGCGCTTACGTCGTGATTGATTCTAACAAGTGTTTGATGACAGCTAATGCTTTAGTTACCTGAATTCCTTTTTAAAAAAAAGAGTTTCATTAACGGAATAATTATGCTTTTTCTGTTCATTTTCGGTTGAAGTACTACTGAATGATGATTATGCATGTCAAAAATATGGCTCGTTTAACTTCAGATACTTATGGACCAAACACATTATTACGACGTAAAAATAAAAATTCAAATAAAGGATGAATTTAGGACAAGTATATTTCATATTCTAATGTGATCAGGGAAACTAGATGAGTGATTGTATTGAATGAATTGACCGCGCGTTTCAAAAAGGGCAGTGATATATCAGTCATTCTCCATAGAGTCAAGGGGAGTGACAACTTAGAACCGAAAGCTCGTTTTGAGCATGATATTGTGTTGATAAAACAACTACTCAACCAAGTTATGCCCAAAAACATCCCCGGAGTCACCTTGCTAAAGGTGTATAGACTAGGAAATCTAGCGCATCTGAAACCAAATCAGTCTAGACTACTCAAAGTCGTTTTCAAATCCTCAAACGAACGCGACCTTATCTTAGAAAATGGACACAAATTAAAGGGTTCAGGAGTTTTTCTCCGTAAGGACTTACCGTTGGCGGACCGTGTTAAAAGACGGGAAGCCGAAAAGGAATTACAGCTCAGATTAGACGCTGGCGAAAAAGACCTGAAAATTGTAAATTTTCGGGTTGTGAGGCTTCGAAAGAGGATGATGCCGAAGCCACTCTGGGTGAAGCACGAGGCCAGCTAAATAGGCTTCAGATCTGTTATACCAACGCCCGGAGCTTACTAAATAAGCTACCGGAACTAGGTGTACAGATTGACTCAACTAGGCCAGACATAATCGCAGTCACAGAAACATGGCTGACGCCGTCTATAGATAGTAGGGAACTTGATTTCGAGGGTTTTACATTGGTAAGGGCCGATAGAATACAAACGCGTAAAGGAGGGGGAGTAGCTCTATTCATTAGGAATGCTATTCCATTCACCATTATCGACAGTGTATCCCATGAGAGTGGGACGTATGAATTAGTTTGCTGCCGCCTGAAATGCAGGGGACAAGAGTTACTACTTAGTTCGATCTATCGCAGTCCAAGCTGTGAGGTAAACGAGGTCCTGCTAAGCAGTCTTAACACTTTATCACGAAGTGACCGATGTCTAATCCTAGGGGACTTTAATGCACCCATGGTGGACTGGGGAAATCTGCGGACTGAATCGTCAGCAAACTCCTTCGAACAGGAACTAGTTGATGCGATAATCACTTGTGCTCTAGTGCAACACGTGAAGGAAGCAACTAGGTACGACCCGGGTTCTGCATCATCCTTACTAGATCTTATATTGACTCATTATGAGGATGATGTTGCAAACCTGGATTACATGCCACCCCTAGGCAAAAGTGATCATGCAGTTTTAAGCTTTGACTTCCATATAACTGTCGATCACGAGTACGCTTCAGCTCAATCCAGACCTAACGTCTGGAAAGCAAACATAGCAGACATCATGAAATCAGCATCATTAGTAGATTGGAAATTAGATCCAGAGTCATCAATCGAAACGGCTTGGGACGTATTCCGGAATTTATACTTAAAAGTTACCACCCCCCACATCCCTTGGACTACACCTAAGAGACCGAGAAACTCCCCACTGTGGTTTAGTAGGGAAGTTCGCATCCTTCTCCGTAAAAGAAGGAAAATGTGGGACAGATTTAGGTTACTGGGGACTGACGAGGCGAAATCTCAGTATCAAAAGGCTCGAAATACCTGTGCCTCGACCCTCCGTAAGGCCAGAAAGCTCTACGAAGAGAAAATCGTTAGGGAATCCATAGAATGCCCTAAACGCCTGTATTCGTATATAAACCAAAGGACAAAAAGAAGAAGAAATGTTCCTTCACTATGGGGAGACAGTACTGCCACATCACTAGTGGAGGATGACTTTGGCAAAGCTCAAGTATTCTCTAAATACTTTAGCGATGTATACACCATAGAAACACCCTTCTCACCAGTCCATGAAAATCCCCCCACACAAGCACTGGACAGCGTAACCATTAAAGAACTCGATGTCTTTGGTCTGCTAGTTAAGCTTGACATAGGTAAATCCACTGGACCCGATGAACTGCATCCTAGGTTATTAAAGGAATTAGCTAACTTTGTTGCGAACCCTTTAAGTGTATGTTTGAATCTATCCGTAACCCAGGGTCGTCTACCAAAAGACTGGAAGAACGCCATAGTAAGTCCAGTCTTCAAGACAGGTACAAAACATAAGCCTGAGAATTACCGACCAATTAGCCTAACTAGTGTGGTTGTTAAAATCTTAGAAAAGATTATTCGGAAGGAACTGTTAAAGTATCTCGATGAAAACCGGATCCTCTCCGAAAAGCAGCATGGTTTTAGAACAGGTTACTCTTGTCTCACAAACTTATTAGTCGCTCGTGAAAGCTGGTGCGCTCTCAAGGACCAAAAATTACCTATAGACGTAGCTTACATCGATTTCAGCAAAGCTTTCGACAAAGTTCCGCATAACCGGCTATTATATAAGCTAAGGAATGTCGGGATTGGAGGCAATCTATTGATGTGGATAAAAGACTTCCTAGTTGGGCGTCAACAAAGAGTAAGGGTGAACTCCAAGTTGTCTAGCTGGGAAACTGTGCTTAGTGGAGTCCCCCAAGGTACAGTTTTGGGGCCAGTGTTATTCCTCCTGTACGTAAATGATCTCCCTCGTCTACTATCGTCATCGGTCTTACTCTATGCTGATGATGTCAAGATATGGAGAGTGATACAAAGCAAGGGCGATAGCTTAGAACTTCAAAATGACCTGGAGAGATTATCTGAATGGTCCCAAACCTGGCAATTGCCGATAAACACTTCCAAGTGTATTGTGATGCATATTGGCCATCAGGGTACAGATACATACACGATGAATAACACTGAGTTACCTATTGTTCAGGCACACAACGACTTAGGCGTCATCGTCAGTCAAGACTTAAAGATTACTGCACACTGCCGTGCAATAGCCGCCAAAGGTTTTAGGACTTTATGGTCCATACGCAGGGCTTTTAGGCATCTCGACGCTAAAACGTTTTTGACTTTGTATACAGTGTTCGTACGCCCTAAACTTCAGTACTGTATACAAGCAGCTAACCCCTGCCTAAAAAAAGACAGTGAACTCTTGGAAAGGGTTCAGAGAACAGCAACTAGGCTGATTCCCGAAATAGCGAAGCTCCCCTATGGTAATAGACTGACCAAGCTAAACCTATTCCCGCTGTCATATAGAAGAATCAGAGGTGACTTGATTATAGTTTTCAAATTGCTAAATGACAAATTTGCACCTGATATGCCCTCATTTTTCTTGTCTTCCAAAACAGAAAATCTACGAGGACACTCCAAAAAAGTTCACAAGCCCAGAACGAATTACTTGTCAGCTGACTACCGACTTTCCCATCGAATAATCAACGAGTGGAATTCATTGCCTCAGCACGTGGTTGAGGCTCCATCCGTCGACTCCTTCAAAAGAAAGTTGGATCAGCTGAGAGACCATCATTGCCAGGACTAACACAGGCCATCAAGCCTCCTGTCCTTTCCAAACTGAAACTGAAACTGAAACTGACTTTCATAATTGTTGTGATTATCGTTGCTTTTGTGTATTTGCTGTATCAAAAGCATTCTTGGTCTACTTTAACTTGAATTAATTCAGTTAAGGTTTTAAATTTTATTGAAAACTTTGTCTCGTGGTTCCTTCTTTTGCATATACTCTGACGCTTGCGCTATTATTGTGATCATATTATTTTTTAAACCTAATCTGATTACAATGGTTGGTAGTTCATTCAAATGTGGACAGCCGAACTGTTTATTCCCCGTAGATGAAGGGATGCAGTGCGATGAATGCAAAAAATGGTACCACAATATGTGTACCCGTCTCAGTCCAGCTGCATACAAAAGATGTTCTAAGCCTAACTCGCACTTGCTTTGTATGTTCTGCCGTACAAACAAGACGACATTAATTCAAGAGGCTATGAGCCTATTGGCTCTAGCCTGTAAAAAGAAAGATAGTGGGTGCGCTAGTAACGCAAGCACTGACAGTGAAGACTGTGTCAGTGTTGTAAGTGCTGTTACAAAACGCGCTGAACAACCTACTCTAATTAATGACAAAGTGAAACTTCCGTTACAACAAACGAGGAGTAAATCACCACATGGTATTGACATGATTAATCATGTATCTTTAGTAGAAATTGAGGACCCGGATAAAACCGTCACCGTCCCCAATAGTCCCAATGCAGCTGTCCTGAATGACCAAAAATGGACCGCAGTAAAGAGGAAAAGAAAAGGAAAAAAAGCTAATGATAAAGCACACTTGGTTGACAAGCCATTGAGGAACTCACAGTCTGAGTCACTCAATGCATTATCGCACTCTGATAGAACGGCAGATCATCATCCTAGTGCGACTGAGAGGAATTTAATATAATCGAATATTATTGTGAGTAAATTGCCAGAGTCTAACGATCCAGATCCTAAGGTTAGACACACCCATGACTTAGAGAGGCTCGGAGAATATATCCGTAGCATATTACCAGATAACACTAAAGGTGTTCAGGTCAAAAAATTAGTTAGAATAGGTAAAAGCGCCGATGACAGTGTTCTACCCCGACCGTGTAGACTCCTTAAGGTAATCTTAGGGTCGGAGAAACAACGTAATCTTCTATTAAGTAACGCTCGAAGTCACGACAACTCTGACATTCGAATGCGACCGGATGTGTTTCTTGAAGATAGAATAAAAAGGAAGACGGCACTAGCTGAACTAGAAACCCGTCGACAAAACGGTGAAGAAAATCTCCGATTGGTGGGTTTTCGAATAGTCAGGTCTTGGAAGCGAATGCTACCAAGGCCTGTATGGATAGGTCGTTCCCCCTAGGAGTTTTATATGCCAACGCCCGTAGTCTAAAACATAAATTCTACGAGCTAGGAACATTAGTGGACAAATTAAGGCCACTCGTTGTAGCTGT